TTCCTTGAACGCTCCGCCCACTGTTCATTTTAATTGGTTAAAATTATTAATAAATATACATGAGGGAGTAGTCCCAGGGAGTAGCTCCGATTTTTCAGGGAGTAGTCCTCAGATGAAGGAAATAGTATCTTCTCAGGGAAAGAGACAGTTTTATGGTATTCATTTTATATAGAGTAATAAGAGTAGAGGTATAATAATATACAAGAACATGATGGAATAAAGTTAAAAAAGTTTTAAATACTGTAAATAAACTGCTAGATGCATGTGAGAGATCTTGCTGCCACAGATCCAATCCCTACCTTTAAAAGATCTAAGTTCTGTTAGATACTTCAGTCCCTGTTTTTCATTGCAATTCACAAAAATTTAAAAAAAAATGGATATATAAAATTTGGTGAACAGGATACATGTATATTGATGTTACATGTATGTAATATTTTTATACGCCGGTCTTTAGACGAGACGTATTATGTTATGGCGTTAATGTCCGTCCGTCTGTCTGTCTGTTAGCTTTTCTTGTGTCCGGCTCATAACTTTAATACTATTAGGCCTAGGATTATCAAACGTTGTCAGTTGATACTTTTTGGGTAGAAGGTGTGTCGCGAACTAAAGGTAGGTCGCTCTGACCTTTAATTAAGATGTTATGGCCAAATATGGAATAATCCTGTCCGGTTCGTAACTAGAAAACTACTGGACTTAGAATCATCAAGCTTGGCCAATTTATGCATCTTAGGTGGAAGGTGTGTCGCGACCTAGTTCAAGGTCACTGTGACCTTTAATTTAAGTGAATTTTTTTTTAAAACTGTCTTTTAACTATTAGATTACACAATCCCCAAAAATGCAAGAGTGTTGCAGTATCCTTATTGAAAAAAATGTTAAATCAAGAAAATACTTATTTTTTTCATTATATACTTTACGGCAATCTATAACAAATGTAATGTTACAAGAGAAATTCCACCTCTCCCATGGGTGTAATTATGAAGCACTGGTCAATGAGAATTTGATAACAGAAAATTACATGTCAAATTAGAGAGAAATTAATGAGTTTAGTGTGAGGAGTTAATTGGTAAAGCATCTCTGATCAAGCAGGTGTTATTAGCTCACCTGAGCCGAAGTCTCAAGTGAGCTTTTGTGATCACATTTTGTCCGTCGTCCGTCTGTCTCTCTGTCTGTCCGTCCGTCTGTAAACTTTTCACATTTTCAACTTCTTCTCCAGAACCACTGGGCCAATTTCAACCAAACTTGCCACAAAGCATCCCTGAGTAAAGGAAATTCAAGTTTGTTCAAATAAAGGGCCACGCCCTCTTTCAAGGGGAGATAATTAAGAACTAGTGAAAATTTGGTGGTATCCTTTAAAAATCTTCTTCTCAAGAACCACCCGGCTGTAAAAGTTGAAACTTATGTGAGACCTTCATTACATAGTGTAGATTCAAGTTTGTTCAAATCATGACCCCTTGGGGTAGGGTAGGGCCACAATGGGAGATCAAAGTTTTACATAGGAATATATAGGAACAAATCTTTAAAAATCTTCTCCTCAAGAACAACTAAGGCACGATTAGTCATATTGATACTGAATCATCCTCAGGTAGTGTAGATTCAAGTTTGTTAAAATCAGGACTTCCAGGGTTAGGGTGGGGCCACAATGGGGGATCAAAGTTTTACATAGGAATATATGTAGGAAAAATCTTTAAAAATCTTCTTCTCAAGAACAAAAAATCCACTATTAGTCATATTGATGTAGAATCATCCTCAGGTAGTGTAGATTCAAATTTTTTTGAATCATGACCCTGAGGGGTAGGGTGTGGCCAAAATGGGGGATCAAAGTTTTACATAGGAAAATATAGGGAAAATCTTGAAAAACCTTCTTCTCAAGAACAAAAACACCACAATTAGTCATATTGATGTGGAATCATCTTCAGGTAGTGTAGATTCAAAGTTTGTACAAATCATGACCCCCAGGAGGTAGGGTGGGGCCACAATGGGGAATCAAAATTTTACATAGGAATTTATAGAAAAAATCTTTAAAAATCTTTTTCCCAACAACAACAAAGCCACAATTAGTCATATTGATATGGAAGCAAAGTTTTACATAGGAATATATAAGAAAAAAATTTAAAAAAATCTTCGTCTCAAGAACAGCAAAGCCATGTTTTTGTCATATTGATATGGAAGCATGTTCAGGTAGTGTAGATTCAAGTTTGTTCAAATCATAATATTAATTTGATATGGATTAAGTTGTTAAGACTAAATTGATATTGTTTAATATGATATTTTTATTTTATTTTTTTTTTTTGGTTGAAAATATCAACTAATTCAGAGCATCATGTCTCACAAATCTGAAAGCTGGGGGGGGGGGGGGGGGACTGCAGATGGGCATTTGTCAAGCTCGAACACAACCAGTTGATGATCTATAATGTAAATATATGTTATAATTAATGCCTACACCACAGGAGATGTATAAACAATTATAAGGAGTGGAAAAATCATTGTAATCCATGTATCAAGGTTAACTTGATTTTCTTGCACTCTAAACTGTATCTGACAATTGAACAATATTTGACGGGCATATCATGCTGTGGCGGGGCACTTTTTCAATTCTTTTTACAGCTGTTCTATAAGATTAATGTAGAAAGAATGTTTAGAGAGTTCCTGTCCAAAAAAGTCTGGGTAAGGTCTTGATAAACTCTTGATAAACAAGTTACCTGAACTATTTTATTGCTGTCTTTGACATATAGTTTTTCTTGCTTACATATTATTTCATAGTTGCGTTTTGTATGACTTTTAATTACAAAGGGCTTTTGTACTTTAGTTAATTGCTCTTTGTTATCTCCATATTTTATGTAGCTTAGAAAAGCTGGTTTCAATTTTAAAATAGTAAAAGCTGATAGAAAAATATACATGTAAGTGCAACAATGCCATTGGGTCAGTTTCATTACTGTAAACACCACTTGTTTTATGTTGTTTAGAAAAAGGACTCATGCCAGATGACACAACTGAAGACCTGGTTGTTGGATATGCAGCCCACACAGTAAATCAGCGGTTTCCCTGTCTTATAATTAAAAGTAGTAATTTTTTTATACACCCACTCCGAAGGAGAGGGGGGTATACTGTTTTACCCGTGTCAGTCTGTCTGTCTGTCTGTCTGTCTGTGTGTCTGTCTGTAACACATTTTGTCAGTTTTCTCAGCAACTACTCATTGTAGATGCTTGAAGTGTAGCACAGGCTTTGTATAGGCATGCCATATGGTGGGATTCATCCAATGTCGACTTCCTGTTATCTGTGTGTCTCTCCGTACCAAATTTCTGTCACAGTGAGTTTTCTCAGCAACTACTCATTACAGATGCTTGAAATTTTAGCAGTCTTTTTTTAGGCATGCCATATGGAGGGATTCATTTCTGTACAAATACAATATCAACTTCCTGTTTATCCATGTGTCTGTCCCTACTAAATTTCCGTTGAAGTTTTCTCAGAAACTACTCATCGCAGATTCTTGAAATTTTAGCACACTCTTTGTTTAGGCATGCCGTATGGTAGATTTTATAGGAGTGTATTTTCACACCAGAGCGGGGGTATTACTAGTGAGCATTCGCTCACAGACTTCTTGTTTTTTCTTTAATTTACACTTTAAGGACACCTTCAAAATTTGAAAATTCTTTGAAAATTTTGTTTCTTGCTCATGGACATTAACAAACAAACTGTTTGAAAGCTTATAATGAATGGCCAGCTCTCTTTAAAAACTTGACCCCCTGGTTCAGGGTTTAGTTTCAGAATGTGACTAACTTGGTCATACATTGGTATTTATTGTGCTGTTTACCTCATCTTCTTTACCTTTTTAAGTTTTGGAAAACAGGCTGCATGAATATTTTATCGTGAATATGGAGTCCTCACCAAACTGTAAAATTGTTTAACAAGTTCCATAGCATGAATCTCTTGTTCAAATATTTTTATTTGTTTTCTTTTTTCAGACAGCTGTATTTCTTGGTGTTGGTGTCCCTTGTTAAGACATGCTGGTTGTTTTCATTTTCAGACAGGGTGATGTATTTCTTGGTGCTGTTGTCAATATGGATGTAGACTTGACTGAACACTTTGGACTAGGTAAGATAGACTTTATGAATCCTGTGACTTGACTGTACACTTTGGACTGCGTAAGATAGACTTTATGAATTTATTCTGAATACTGACGGTGCTTAAAGTGTTTTAACTGGAATGACATAAAGCAAACATTGCTATGAATACACAAAGTAAGGTCAACTGTTTCATGTATTCTGACCAACCCATTAAAATTATCCATACTCAATGATGGATTTTATGCGTGCTTTAAATTATATTTTAGATTACCAGAGCTGAAAGCTCAAATGAGCTTTTCTGATCACCTGTTGTCCGTCTGTCTGTCTGTAAACTTTTCATATTTTTAACCTCTTCTCAAGAACCGGGCCAATTTCAACCAAAGTTGATACAAAGCAATCTTGGGTGAATGGGAGTTTAAGTTGTTAATATGAAGGGCCAAGCCCCCTTACAAGGGGAAATAATCAAGAAAAGACAAAAATAGGGCTGGGTCATTAAAAAGTCTTCTTCTCAAAAGCCACCGGGTCAGAAAAGCTGAAACTTATGTGGAAGTATCCTGGGGTAGTGTAGATTTTATATTGTTCAAATCATGACCCCCGGCGAAAAGGGACAATAGGGGAGAATTTGGTGAAGAGCAGGAGAGCCAAAGTTACTCAGGTGAGCATTGTGGCCCATGGTCCTCTTGTTTTGGCTCACTTTGCAGAAAATAAAGATTGTCGATATTTTAGAATTATAAAGAAAATGTTTATCATTTTATAAGAACAAATTTTAAGTTTTACTTCAATACATTTTAAATCTGTCGAGCTGTCCTTTTTATAAAAGAAACATCAATAAAAAATTTTAATCTATGATTTTTATTATAAAATGTGTACTATAATTAAAAAAAAAATCCTTCCTAGCTACCCACCTGAAAAATGTAAGTCCGGATACATCAAACAAAATTCTGATTTTTTTTATTCTAATCAATTATGCAATAAGAAAATGTTTGATCTCAGGCACTGTCACATCAGATCAAAAACATTTTTGTTGACATATTGAAAAGGGAATTAACTCAATTCAATTTTCTATTTTCCCATGTTTGCTCAATATACAGCCCTAGATTCAACACATGTATTTGATTTTCTTCACTCGTCTGTTATCACGTTGAGCAACAAACAGATTGTCATTTGTATCTGTACACAGTCCCCAGGGATCACTCAGTCCACATTCTATGTAACGGAGGAACTGTCCATCCTGGTCTATGATGTGGACACAGTCATTGATATAATCAGCTGTAAGGATGTGACTCTGGCTGTCTGTGGTGATTCCTAGTGGATTGAATGGTTTTTTCTTTGAAGCGGGAGTATGTCCAGTGTAACTGAATCTCAGTTTCCCGGTCTGATTGACCACCACTACTGCTTTAGCTCCATCATCAGACACACAGATATCCAGGTTCCTGTTCTCAGATATGTAGTATCTGTTATAAGGATTAGATGAATAGAGAGGTTTACCTTTATCATCAAACTGAATGTTTTGTTTCTCTGTGGAACCAGAGTAACGGACAACTTTTGTTGGTTTGTCATTACCACTGTACATGACAACCAGGAGGTCACCAGAGGAGGTACTGCAGACACTGCGAGGTATCCAGTTCTGTAGTCTGATCACCTCCTCCGTCTTCTCATTCTCCACAATATTCACAGTTCTATCACTGTAATCAGTATAAACTAGATCTCCACTTTTTGTCACTGCTATGTCCCATGGATAGTTCCCGGACTTGGTTGTGATTGACTTGAGTAGAGATCCCTGATTGATGCTGTAGAGTTTCATGATTTTGTTATTTCCTCTCGTCCAGATTTCTTCACCACTCAGACAGGCCACATTGTAAAGTTCTTCATACCCAGTGTCTATGGTGGTGACTGTCTCTGGTTCATCAAGCAGCTGTTTGACTGGAGGAGAGGATCCAGCTTCTGGTGATTTCTGTGTTGTCTTCATGCTGTAGCCATGTTTATCTGAAGTTAAAGATCTTGAGGATAAAGTTCCAAACAATTTACTGAGATTTTCTCCTTGAATTTTTTCTGGAATGAATTTGGATAAGGTTGGTGATAGTTTTTGTGGAAGGTTTCTGTATATATGTACATTTGATGTAACACTAAACAGTTTTGACAAGTCATTAGTGTCTATAGCCATTTCAACTGAATTGATTTCATCCTTGATGTCAGAAATTTTCTTGTTTATTTCATCCAGATGTTTCTGTAGAGTTTGGAACTGTGTATTTTTCATCTCATCCACTTCAGCTTTAAGTTTCTTGACAAGTTTATCAATTTCTCTATGCCAGTCCTCTCCATGTTTTGTAACGGCTGTTGAGAGATCTCCATATTCCTTTTCTAACTGACGTATTCTGTTTTGTACATCAGAGGCAATGTCCTGGTAGGTTGGATAAATTGTGTCATTTAATTCAGTTAGTTGTTTGATGATTTTGTCTTTTTTTTCTTCCACAATCTGTACGATTTCTGATAACTTATGACCCAGGTGTTTATCAGATGCTAGACACTTTATACAAACAGGAATGTCACATTGATTACAATACATTGTACATTCTTGTTTGTTATGAAATTTACATCCAGGGTAGAGGGGAGTGGATTTCCTGGCATTAAATTTGACGACTTTGTGATTTTTGGATTCATCTGTTGAAATGTGTTCTCCAACACAGGCCTTACACAGGTTGACAAGACATGTATCACAGTGCATCTGTACCACAGCGGTCTCACACAGGTCACATCGCATCACGTCCTGGGCACTGGTACGGGGGTCCATGGTTATACTGTGACTCTGAAGTATATAGTTAATTAGGTTAATTAGGCTTTAGGGTAGTGCTAAGTTGATAATATACTTTATGTGACCGATGCACCCCCAACTTACTGTACATCAAACTCAGAGCAGAATTATTCAGTCTTTCTTCATTGACCTTAAAAATCCTTTGTAACTTTTTCAAAAACTTTTTTGATAGCTAAATTTCAATGACAAACCTAATGCATTAATTGCTATCTATAAAGGCAAAAAAAGTCAATCAAAATATCAAAATGTTAATAAATATATTTAAAAACGTTACCTGACTTCTAAGACGGTAATGGCTGCCAATAAAATAGGTGTTGTTATGTGTTCAGGTCACATGACCTGTTTACCTGCGTTATCTACCTATCAGGTATTTATACTTCCTGGTCTATATATAGTCGGGATTTAAATCTAAGCACTATACTTTTGATATTTCATTATGATATAGACACCAAAATAAAGAAATGATCCTACACCAAAAAAAAAATATTTTTAAAAAAAAGAAAACTCTCTATTGATTGGGTTCACTAAATGACCTTCTCAAAGAGAAATTTAATAACTTAATAAATTGGAATCTTAACTAAATTACCTGTCACTCAAACAAAGTATCTAAAGTATTATGTATTCAGTTTGTAAGAATGACTGTGTGGTAAGAAGAAAGTTTTTGTGTTGAGTGAGTCTTTAAGATAGGGACTAATTAATAAGTCAGTGAAACCTGTGTAATCCAACATGCACTGGGAGACAAATTTTGTGACGGAATAGAGGGGGTGTCAGATTACATTATTAGCTCACCTGAGTCAAAGGCTTTTCTGATCAAAATTTCTGTCTGTCTCTGTAAACTTTTCACATTTTCGTCTTCTCCAGAACCACTGGGCCAATTTCAACCAAACTTGGTACAGAGGATCCTTGGGTAAAGGAAATTCAAGTTTAGGGCCACACCCTCTTCCAAGGGGAGATAACTTAGAAAAAGTAAAAATTTGGTGGTTGTATTTAAAATCTGCATCCCAAGTACCACTGGGCCAGAAAAGTTGAAAATTAGGTGAAAGCTTTCTGACTTAATGTAGATTAAAGTTTGTCCAAATCATGACCCCTGCAGGTAGTAGGGTGGGATCACAATGGGCAATCAAAGTTTAACAAAGGAAAACATAGGGAAAAAAACTTTAAAAGTCTTTTCCTCAAGAACAGTATTGCCATGATTGATGATATTAACATTGGAGCATCCTTAGGTAGTGTAGATTCAAGTTTGTTCAAATCATGACCCTAAGGGCTAGGGTTGGGTAACAATGAGCGAACAAAGGTTTACATAGAAATATATAGGAAAAATCATTTTAAAAAATCTCTAGAACAGCATAGAAATATATAGGAAAAATCATTAAAAAAAATCTCTAGAACAGCAAAGCCATGATTGATGATATTTAAAGGGAAGCATCCTCAGGTAGTGTAGATTCAAGTTTGTTGAAATCATGACCCCTGGGGGTAGGGTGGGGTCACATTGAGCGAACAAAGTTTTACACAGAAATATGTAGGAAAATCTTAGAAAATCTTCTTTTCTAGAATACCAAAGCCCTGATTGATGATATTTAAAGGGAAGCATCCTCAGGTAGTGTAGATTCAAGTTTGTTCAATCAAGATCCCTGGGTCTAGGGTGGGGTCACATTGAGCGAACAAAGTTTTACGTAGAAGATCAAAAAAATATATTAAAAAATCTTCTAAAGCCATGATTAGTCAAAGAAATATGAAAACATCCTCAGTTACTGTGGAATCATTTTAATTTGTGAGGGGTCAATGTTCTTGGGTAAGCAAAATTTTGTTAGTTCTTGGTACATAATTTCATTGGTAACTCGTATATTCAGAAGATTCAGTGAATAAATATATTAGCAAAATGTAAATTCGTGGATAATGGTGACCCACAAAAAACACAACAATGGGCCCCCACAATCAATAATGATTCCACAGTATTGAAGATTTCAGTGGGAGGTGAGCAATGTGCCTCTTGTATTATATTATCAAGGATGTTAGAATGATTATGTGATTTTTTTTGTATCTGATAAGAACAAAGTTTCTATTTGATAAGTATAAACATAAGTTAAGGACCCTCTAGACACTAAAGCAACATGTTTTTTGGACACTGAGTAAATTATATTGTATAAAGGTGTAAATTTTGAGCTTTATATCTATTTCATTTTCAGTGTAGGGTACCAAGCATTTGCCCTCTTGAAAAATAAAGTGTTAATGAACAGAAATCACTGTCGTTTCCTTAAATGGGGAAAATACTAGCAAATAAAGCATTCAATCAATTTTTCTTGGCGAATTCAAATTTTAAGAATGCTTGAATTGACTACAAATTGAGCAATACACTGAATATTTCAATTTATTTTAGTTTTGATCTAAGGGCAGATCACTTTTACTGCATTAAAATACCACATAATGGGAACTCTTTAGTGTGCAGTGTATAGAGGGTTCTTAATATCCAAATATGAAATAGATGTGGCAGACTTTGTGGTACCTGTCTTTTAGTTGAAGGAATGCTTTGTTTATTTCAGTTTCTTGGATACAGATATAAACGGAACTCCGAGTGAATTAGAGAGCTTGATGATTCTGGAATATAAGGACACATACTCGGTAAAACATTTCTAGTTCTACCGAGCAACAGTATTTTCATATGTTCTTTTTTGAAAGCTATATTGGTGAGCTTGAGATAAAAGATACTACAGAGTCTGACACATCTGTTTCATATTTGGATATTTTACTTGAAAAAGACGTTAATGGTAATCTAACAACCAAGCTTTATGATAAACGTGATGACTTAAACTTTTCAATCGTCAACTTCCCTTACTTATGCAGCAATATACCTTCATCACCTGCGTACCGGGTTTATATCTCTCAGTTGATTCGATATGCAAGAGCATGCTCTACGTATGTACAATTTCTAAAACGAGGTAAAATATTGACAAACAAGTTGATGAAACAAGAATATCAGCAGTCTCGTTTAAAGTCATCATTTCGGAAGTTCTATGGTCGATACAATGACCTTGTCAGCAAATACAATTTATCATTGAGTCAAATGCTGACTGACGTTTTTCATACTAATTGTTAAGCCATTATTTACACACTGAATTGTCGACGGATTTTTCCGTTATTTCCCGATCATGACAAGAAGCACAGGGCGGGTGTGACAGGTCGGCAGGGGATGCCCACTCCTCCATGGCACCTGATCCCACCTCTAATGTTTTGGAGGTCCGTGTTTGCTTTGCACCTATTTTGTAATGTTTAATGAATTTTTGAGCTTGAATACTGTTCGTTATCTCCATATATTTCATTTCATATCACTGAGTACAGTCTTCAGAAGTTTAAACTGTTGTTAGCTGATCCTACGACAACTACAGCCTACATCTACAACAGGAACCAGATTCTGTTTGTACCGGGTAAAAATATAACTCCATAATGCAGACAGGTGAACTTTGTTATCCAGAACACTGATGGTTTCTAAATGGTTCCAGTTTTGTTTCAACCTTGATATCTCAATCCCATGAATATACATCTTGAAGGTTTACTGACAGTTCTGCATTGTATTGCAAGTTTAAAGGTTTGACTGTAATCATATTTCATTTGAAAAAATACAGTCACGTTGTCTTTTAAAGAGCTAGGTTCACTTTATGCATAAAATGGCCCTGTCCTTATATCTAATTGATATAAGGACAGGGACATTTTATGCATAAAGTGACTCTCACCCTCTGTCCCATTTCATATATCAAAATAAAGTAGAGACTTAAATCTTCAGAAACAGATCCTTCATTATGTAATTGCATATTTTGGATCAGAGGTTGTGCTCTATATGAAATATTGAAAAGTACCTCAACTTTTGGCCATTTCTAAGGGAATTTACAGGATATGGGGAAAATGACGCATTTTATGACATCATAATGCATTGACTAGAGAGAAAATTACATCATGTTCAATAGATACACGGTCACCAAGTGTCCAAGCTATAAATACTGCATTTTCAACCAAAACTGAGCAGTTTCGATTTTTCAGATATTCTCAGGGCCAAAAAAGGCCCTAAGTTGCTCTTGCTCTTTCCCCTATATGTTACATCCTTTTTAACAAACCTGTCTCTTAATAAGTGGACGTTTTAAAAAACAGAAGAGTTTTTACAGGAATTTTATATTTTAGGTCCCTCCAATGAAGTTGTTAATCTACAACAACCAGGGGGTCACATTCTGGGGGCAGGTAAGACAAGTTATCAGTTCATCTGAGACAAAGCCTCAAAGTTTCTACAAAATCATTAGGCCTAGTTCAATCAAAGTTGACCCACAGCATTTTTTGTTTGAGATTCAATTTTTTTACAAATTGAAAAGCTAAGACTTGTAACTATAAGTCATAATGAAGAAAAATTTACAAATCTTAGATTATTGAAAAACTTAGAATTTGATGATATATGCTTGGATACATGTTCATGTAAAGGAATCAAAAACTACAAAGATTATTAATACTATACTCACACATTTGTAATATTTTTCCTAGGATCTTGTGATGGGGTTGGAGTTTTCTTCTCGGGCAGTGTGGGACTTTTTTCCATCAGTGCTCTGCAGAAACAGGAAGTCAGGGGTTAAATTGCAATTATTTAGTACATGTACATCTAGGACATTTAAAGAGCTTTTTAATTTTAATGTATGCCATGTGAGATTATTTGCCATGATTTGAGGATACATAATACAAACAAAAATTTGATGCCTGAATTGATATATATTTTTTGACTGATTTTGAGTGGAAATGACATAAATAATAAATCCCTAAATATAAAGAAATCGTAAATTTTCTTTGGTGCTTAAATATGCGACTTTGTTTTGTTTTTCTATATAATTCTATACAAAATTTTGCACATATTTTTAACAAATCGACAAAATCTGACAAAATTCTCCCACTTTACCTGGTAAACATCATTCAGGTTACTTCTTTGAGAAATATTGCTGATTTCTGAAAAAAAAAAATGTTTGTGTT